TACATACATATATACATGCAAACAAACACGCGCACACCCAGCATTCCCTGGAGAACCTCATGTTGCTCGTACTGCCCTGTCCGGGGACCTTTTCTTTTGCACACCCGCTACCTCCTAAGGCCCCGACCTCCTCACCCCTTCATCCTCATCCCCTTCGCTCCTCGCCCCTCATCTCACCCTTGGGTTGGGATACTGGGCGATCCCCAACGCACCTCAATACACACATACACACTTTCCCCCTCTCTACCCCCAAACCTCCATCCCACAGAGGAAACCCCCCGTGGAATCCCCCGCTCTCCCTAGGAGGGGTAAGGTGGACATGGCTACTAAGGGCGGTTACTCGGTCGCGTACAGTGGTGCTTTAGCACATAGATCGGGAGCCGGGGGGTGGACGGGGGTTTGGGGGTGGACGGGGGTTTGGGGGTGGACGGGGGTTTGGGGGTGCCGTGCTTATCACACCTTTCCTATACCTCCCCCTTACTACGTCCCCTTCCCCTCCTCCCCTCCCCGCCCTTATCTTACCTTGCTCATGGCCGCAAGCTCATCCTTCATGAGGGGCAGTAGCAGCTCCACACTGGCGGCCGTTAGGTTGTTGTAGCCCAAATCCAACCGCCTCAACGAACCACACTCCGCGGATGCCAGCCGGGCACCCAGCGGCACGAAGGCCTCGTCGTTGAGGGCGTTACCCGCCAGAAGTAGCTCCGAAACACAGGCCAGGTCGGGGTGGCCTAGCACGTCCACCAGCGCAACAATCTGTGATGGTTTGGCGGGTTCGGTATTCCGGTTGGTTTCGGTCGTTGCAGTTGATGTTGACAGCCGGTTCGTTATTGCAGTTAGTGTGTAGGCTGGTTAGATTATAGATGCAACAGTAACGGTAACGGTAACGGTAACGTTACGCAGAAATAATGTGCGGACATCCTTTGCTTTATTGTCCATACAGCTAAAACCCTATCGGGCATATCGTACATACATACATACGTACGTACATACATACACACGTACATACATACCTGATCGATTCCATTGACTGCGTGGCTCAAGTTGAACGAAGTGCTCTTCTCCTGCTTCTGGAACCTCCGCATCAGGCGGCCCACCTCGCCCACACGGTCGCACGGACCGCTGCGACCGTTCTCATCCACCTCGGCACCCGCCAGTACGGCAGCCATGGCGTGCCTGTACGACATGCCGCAACACCGCATAGAAGAGAATCATCCTGTCTCGTCTCTGTGCTTCCCTCCTCCCTTCTGGGTGGTTGCTTATTTCTTCCTGACACGCGGGACAACGCAGCGTATGGCCACTTCTCCCAACCCCCAGCCAGCCGAAGAGCCTCACAACCCATCCTCCGTTTTGCATCTCCCATTCCCTCCTTCATAACTCCTCGCCTCCCTTCCCTCCCCTCCCTCCCCTCCCTTACCTCCCTTCCCTCCCCTCGCGTCCCCCTACCTTGTCTCCTCCAAGACGTCCTACGCGGGTGCCAATCCCTGTCCCGGCGGCCAGTCCCAACCGCCCAAGTTACGGCGCTTGAGCTTCCGTCGCGGGGCGTCGTCGGGGCCGCCGCCGACGGAGCTGCCGCCGTCGACCTGGGAAGAGGAGCCAGCCGCCGACGGCCCCGCCGTCACGGCTGCAGCCAACCCCAACGCTGAGGCGCTCATCAGCGCCGCGGATGCCACGACGGCTAAGGAGCGGCTGTTGCTCGACGACCGAACGCCTTCCCCCGCGTCCCCGGCCCCCCCGCTGAGGTTACTGCCGCCACCGCCACCGCCACCCCCGCCACCAGCGGCAGGACCGGAAACAGCTGGCAGTGGCGCCGTCGCAGCTGCCGCCGCCACCGACACTGGCTTTGCTGCGCCGCTGACGGGCGCGAGTGCTGCGTAGATGTTGGTTGGGGGGAGCGCCTCGCCGTACGTGCCCAGCTTGGCGGCGGCGCGGGTGAGGGGCATCAGCGCCGCGTCCATCGTGCGATTAAAAACTCCGAACTGTGGTTACGTGTGTCCGCACGTGTGTGTATGTGTGTGTGTGTTTGTCGGACGGGAGGAACGGGGCGAAGACTGGGTTTGGTTCCCTCCAACCACCCCGTTCATAGGCTTTCGTATTGACCATCTAACAAAAGGGTATTGGAGTGTGGAAACGGGGGTCTAGCTGACTGCAGGAAAAGTGGCACTGGAACTTGAAACGGCCAAGTGACTTTGCCACTGCCCACATACACATGTACACGTACATATACATACACACATACATATACATATGGTACATGAGACTCTCCTCCTCTCACTCCCTGAGCCTAAAATATTCGACGGAGAAGTAATACCGAACCACCATCACCATGAAACCCTTTTCGTCTTCTCCTTCTTCTCTTCCCCCCTTCCTTATCCAGGTCCGCAGCTCTGCGGGGGGAGCCCAGTGCGGGCGATTTACTTTACACGCCCGGAGTCCCCCCACCCCGTGTCCCGCTGCGACACCGACACCGACACCGACACCGATGTGCAGTCGAGTCCGCGACCCCCGTGTGTTTCGAGCCTTGTGTTTCGAGCCTTGTGTTTCGAGCCTTGTGTTTCGAGCCGTGTGTTTCGAGCCGTGTGTTTCGAGCCGTGTGTTTCGAGCCGGAGCCGTGTGTTTCGAGCCGCAAGCCGCAGTGTGCAAGCAAAAGCAGTGGGCGTCTCTCACCTCCACCTCCGTCAGCGGCTTGGACTGTCTCCTCGCGGTGAGGCCGCTGATGGGCGCAGCCAGGGAGGCCCTCAGGGGCGACATGGACGCGCAGGCGGCCGCCTTGGTGGCAGCCGCGCCGCGCAGCCGCTCGAGCCGCGAGGTGGCCCAGTTGCCGTTGCCGGGGGCCGTGTACGGCCGACCCCCGGAGCCACCTGGAGAGGTGAGGTGTGTTTTGGTGCTGTTAATAGGGCTGTGTTCACTTCACTTCACTTGGGGCTTTCTGGTAAAGTAGTGAGACCTTTCAGGTGATTAGGAAAGGGTGGTGGTGAATCCCAAAAATCCCCCCAAAAAGGTGAATCCCATATTTTAGAAGATTTCTGGGGACATTGGCTTGCTGGCTGGCAGGCAGGCTGGCTGGATGGATGGATGGCCTTTTTGGGGTCGGGGGAAGAGGGGGATGCTTTAGTGTGTCCTTGTGCGGTGGTGGGGGAGGGCCGTGCTCACCAAGAAAGGGAGAGGGGGGTCAGTGGGGAGGGAAGAGAAGGCGGCAAAGTCGCTTAACGACGCAGCCGCCCATCTAAAACTCTGAAACCAATATGTGGTGTGATGTGCGCTGCCCATCCACCCACCCACCCACCCGACGTGGGGTGAGCGTAGTTACCAGCGGAGTTGCTGCTGCTGCT